AAGCGGCAGTCGCGGGTTTTAAGTAAAGAGAACTGGTCGGATAACGATGATGGGTTAAAGATAGCACTATCCTAAAGGACATGTAGTATCTTACTAGCGGGGTCTTTCGAAGAAAGAAAAAAGAAAAAAAAAATCAGGCAATTATATTCAAGTGAGCACGGAATTCCATAGAATCGGTGGAAAAGGTGAGGAAGAAAGACAAGAGAAGGATGGAAGGATAGAAGATGACACAAATCAGAGATAGAATCTCATAAAGACGTCCAGGTTAGGCCACAGCATGCAGCGTACAGTACAGCATGCAAGTACTTGTAGCTTTGGTATCCTGCAGGAATTGCGCAAGTTAAGTTATGGTATTCAAGGGTGATGACAGCAATGGAACTGGTCGAGATATGTGCTAGAAGAATTAGTGGTCGAGAGGGAGGAAGGGGGCTGAAAGAAAGGGGAAGGGGGGAGGGGGGAGGGGAAGAAGGAGGGGGTGGTGAGGAGGGTAAAGCATCAAACCAAGTGAGGGTGGAGGGAGAATAAGAGCGAGAGGATAGGTGAAGTTGAGGAGGAGAAGCAGGAAGAGGGGGAAATTCCAAGTAGGGCTGTGCGAGACAACATCCGGAAGGTATGATGTGCATAAGTTGGCCAGTCCCGGTTTCACAAAGTAGGAGGAGTTTCGTGCATTGCATTGCCGTTCGGGTGAGCCAAGAGAGGGAGGAAGTTGGCCAATTCCAGGTCAGAAAGCCACCATAATCTAGCCGAATAATTTCATTTGGTCAATAACTCTTTTATATCCATGCGGTACTATAAAATCTCGTATACCCAGGGACGGTTGGAACAATTTTCCAGGAAGGCTGAGATGTTCATTCAAGTGTGCGAGGATTGATATTGGCGCGATCTATATCGCTTTTTGCATAAACCACGGATATAGAACGAATAAAGGGGGAGGCCACAAGCAGGAGCAGGAGCGCGCAGAAGGTATTATACCGTCCTTGTACCTCGTGCTCGGTAGACGGAGTCACTTGCAATGCTTTCCCGCGCCCTTGATATACGGAGGGTGCATGTAGAACCTTGGAAGGTAGATTGATAAGTCTGTTTCACCTGATCTCGCTCGGGTTGAAAAAGTTTCGTGGTGTTGTATAATATCATTGCGGTGCCATGGGAGTTTTCAGTATGATACTTGACCATTGGGTAAGGGCGCCGTAGTGTACCGTACTAGCATAGCACAGTACGAGTACTCGTAGGAAGCACTGGACGAAATGGTATGAGCATTGCAGTGTCGTACCCTGACTACCATCGACCAACCAATAGTCTCCTGGTGAATGATAAACCCAAGATACGGCCTGGTAAGTGATGGTGTTTATCGAATCCGATCGAACAAGATGCGGATGGATCTTCTTGACACCCTCTTCCCCCCCACCAAGGCTTCTTGTTCTGGCCAGCTTTCTCCGTTCCTGTCCAATCCCAACCCGGATGAAGGGTTTCATTTAGAGAAAATTATTCAACCACACAACCACCGCCCAACTGGCCACTCGTGCTATTATAATAGTCCTAGATATCAAGACGAAGGGGGAACATTTGGCAGCTTGGTTCAAATTCATCCTCTTCTAACTGTAGCACAGCTCCAGCTACAGAACGCTCTGTAGCACAACTGCCTTACAGTACGGTGCTGCGGTGTACGAGTACAGTACTGTACGGTACTGTACCCAAGTTTGCTCTCCAACCTGACTTTCCCGCCGAATCCCAAAAGAACAGAATTCCCCTCTCCCGAGGTATGTTCGACGAGAAATAATAAAGACATGTTAAATTCACGAGGGGAAATCTTAAGGATTAAAATCGGAGGAAAAAAAATCATCTTCCAGACAAAAAAGAGATAAATAATAATAATAATAATAATAATAATAATAATAAAGTAAACAAACGTACGGTCAGGTAATTTGGGGAAATAGGATATCTCGCGGTTGTTCTGCTTGGCCTGCCTCAGCTTCCCCGTACATCGTCCGTCCTGATCGCTATCATCTCTTTAACCCACATGCCTCCTCCAGCAAATTCTCCGTCTGTGAGTTATCATTACTCCATCCAGATCTGATGATGCTGCGGCCATCGTACTGTTTCCTCAACTAACTTTACTCCCAGAATACGCAACCGTCGTTCGCTTCGTCGTCCCACGTACCCCCTCCGCCATCTGTTGACCCCTCGGCATTTATGCAGAGTCGCGCCGAGCCATCCCCGCTGCTGCATTCACTCCCACAACAGCCGTTACTGGACGACGAGGACGACGAGCGTGAGGAATTTGTCCGGTCTCGTATCAGCGCCTTGTATGGTGCTGACGCTAGGGTTTTCCGTCATTTGGCAGAGCTCACAAGGTCTAGCGGGAGCGAGCAACGAATGAGGAGATCAGGTTCGGGCCGGATGCGCCAGTCCTTAAGGGATAGTGAGGCCAGGCAAGCACAAGATCAGGCATATGGAGCTCGGATTCCGTCCTGGAGACCTGGCCAGAGGCAGTCGTTGTATGACTGGGCCCCAGCAACTCCGCCCGAAGAGGATTCTGAGAGTCGGCCCACAGCCGGACGCACGCTGGCTGGTATGTTCGAGGGTTTAATTAATGCGCGTTCTGAATCTTCTACTAGGAGTTCATCGTTCATGCAATCTCTCCGCCCGCCCAACCGGCGGCCGATACGCTCGCGGCCACAATGGCATGGGTATTCTTGGGAGCGTGAACGAGAGAGGCAACGAGAGGGGAGAGAGGACTCATTCACTTATCATGAATGGGGCAATCCAGAGGTGATACATCGCTCACGGCCAATTAGAATTCGAGGTGAGAATCTCAGAGATTCTGGTTCATCCAGTTCACCCTCCCCCTATGAGCTTGAGGAGGTCATAAAATATCTCGCCAAACTGCGCTCTAGCAGTGGTCCACAGGAAAGCCTGTTACTCGCCGAGAAGGCCGGGTTTGGTCGTAGCGACGACTGGATGGAGTTCCTCGACGAGGGGGCGCGATGTGATGATTTACTGCTGGACACTCGTTTTCTAAGTGTCGCGGAAACCTCGTGGCTAAAAGTAGGTGGAATCTTTTGGGGTTCCCAGACGACCCCGCCGGTATTCCCGGTCGCGCCTCTGCGGACTAACCATTCATCGGCCTCGTCAACCTCATCCTTACCTTCCAACACAACTTCTGCTGCCCTCCCTCACCAAGACGAATCTCGGCGGGCGCCTGGGAGAACTTCATCTTATGCCAACACCCCTCATAAATGGACTGTAAAAGTCAGCATATCAAGTATTGATTATGCCCAACTGCGCTTAAGTGAGTATATCTCATCCTACGTTACTACGCGTTTTCCCTGACTGGCCGGGTTTGCAGCTGGGACTATGGAGGCATTTACAGACTTCCAGCCCTCGTCCACCGAGAGAAAAACTAGCATAACAACATACTTGGAAGGAGAAATAATAGATTTCAAAACGCACAGCTTGGAGACCTTCAACTTCCATAGTAATATCAAAGACGATGCAAATAACTGGCGCAAACTTGAACCGTTTTCTCGCCTGCCCGATGATCAACTTGTCAAAAGTCTAGTTTCCAAGAAGTTTATGAAAAACCTCACTGATAACTGGATATTCATGAGATGGAAAGGTGAGCCCAAAAATCCTCGTTCACCAATCATTTGCATAGCGGAGCTAACCGCTTTCAGAAAAATGCTTCATAACCCCCCAAACCTCGCCAGAGGTCGGTGTCCTAACCATAGGCGGCTTCTACTTCCTTTCCCTCCGCCGCTCAGACGGCCAAATACAGGGCTTTTACTATGACCCCCAAAGCCAGCCATACCAAGAACTAAGCTTAAAGCCACAGAAACGAATGTTCCCAACCTATGCATTTCGATAAACTCCTCCTTTTACACTCTTCCACTTTCTAACCGAAATATATGGGAGGGTCATTGAATTAATAGCTTTACTGCTTCTTTGCCTTTCTGACTCCCTCCGACTTTGATCTTTTTTATTTTGATATTTCGAATTATTATTATTATTATTATAGGTGCGATGCGGTGTACTATATACTGAAACATCCCCTTTTTTGTTCCCTCTACCTTCTACTCTACTCGTGCTTCTGATGCCTAGGTTTTGGGCTAAGTTAGCTATGGTATTTCTATTTTTTTTCTTTCGTGGATCTGCGTTAGAGGGTTTGGCTAAGTTCATGTCCCCGGTTGCTCGACCGTGAAAATAAAATTCCGAACACTATGAAAAAGATGGCAAAAAGATATCAAGACAAAGGGAGGGGAAGAACCGGTAAGGGTGCGCTAAGGGGGTCTGGCACAAATTATTTTTGTATTGCTTTTTGTATTGCTTGTATTGCTTACTTTAGCCGTTTTTAGCTTGAGGAAAGAAACAAAAAAAGGGGAGTTATCCCACACTGTAACTTAAACCGTTGGCAGCTTTTCCCAGCCTTGTGAAATTATACGGTATCATATTATGATACTCACGACAAACATGCACTTGCACCTGTGCCAATAAGTCACTTGTTGGTTAACAAGGGAAGGCTCATTATTTTGCGCTGACAACTACTGCACTGTATCGGAGTCCTGTACCGTAACGTACCACCGATCTGCCGTGTGCTATAGATGACGCTCCGTATATAATCGCCCGTAACCTAACCATAATACTGCAACCTACCAGCGAAAAACAATCCTATCATAGCCAAACCTTGCAGTCACCCGTCCTGACTGCTACAGAACGCCCACATCTGGTAGCCCGTGAATGTTGTGGCGCAGGGAGCGCAGGTTTCCTCACGGGGTTCGATGAAGAAGGGGGATTGATAGAAGGGGAGCGGAGCAGATGAGCCAGGCAGGAGCTGATCTGAGATCGTGCTGGTGATAGGCGAGGGCGGCGACAGAGCAAGGTACACATCTAGTTGATCCCCCACGGCAGTGTACAGTATTAGCGTACTGAGACGGTATTTCACTGCAGTACCCAGCAGAGCTTGCGAAGGTGTTTCCCCTGGGCGGTGAGTTAAGATCTGGAAATAGACTTGCTGCTCCGGGGGGGGTTGGATTAGGGATCGAAAGATCGTTAAAAACGTGGCTCACGGACTTTTTCTTCCAATGGCAGTCGCTTGGTGGTTCAGGGCCTCTAAAGCTTGGACGGAATATGCTGAGAAGTTCCTGGATGTCACTTCCGAGGGCGGGCAATCAAGCTGCTAACTGAAGATATGCGCCTAGTCCCCCCTTGGAGATGTTCCGTTTGCGAGGATTTCCTAGGAATTAAGGCTCCAGTGTCCTACGAGTTGGGGTTTTTGGCAGACGGGGCCCTAGAGGCGCGTGTTCACTATTTGTCACTCGAGATTTACTCGGATATGTAAGAGAAATGTGCCACCAGTGTGATATCGTATGTCGTTGTATCATAATTCCCCCCGTCGGATAGGTATATCATGAACAGAGTAAAGACCTCGCCGATCAGCACCAAGCTACCTACACCACCCATCAACAAATGAGACGAAATTGGTTAGCATTTCTCTCATATCCTGTTCACCATGGAACGGAATAGGAAGCCGAATCAACTTCACGATTCATACCACCTACACACCTCCGACATACTTTCCCACCCCCTCGCCCAACCTTATTCTTCTGAACTTTTCGGTCAAACCCTCTTCCGACAACTTTCGACCCCTACCCGTTCTGATTCTAAGCTTGATTTTTATCAAACAAATAGCCGTCAGCAGTGGCGAATGGGTTATCATCCAGGTAGGGCAAAGCCTGGGCATCGGCAGACTCGATACTGTATCATACTCCAAAGTCATCACAAATCTTTTTTACACAGTATAGTGATATATGCCAACCCTGGACTCAAGTCCAAGCTACAACTGCTAGTAGCAACAGCATTCGGGATTCCTTCTCTATCCTAACTATGACCGCCTCCAAGTCCGAGTCTTCAGCTAACAACCATCTACTGGACCTAATTCCAGGTCGAAAGCGACGTGAATGTGCGATATGCTGATACAATTTCCGAAAGGGTCAAAATGAAGGGCATTGCAGGCCCAAACTTACTCAATACCAGCGTTCTCTCTGTTCACCTCCAATCGCTCTATGTGGTCCCAATAGTTATGGTCAATGTTTCATCCAATGGCATAGAATGGTGGAGAGAACTTAGAGGTATGATAACCCTCAGCAGAAAGGTGAATCGTGATGTACGGTATCATACTAGCACTGTACTTCTTGTTCTGGTGGCAAATATTGAATTTATCAAGTCACGTGCCTGCTAGCCATACTAAACCTAGCCTTTTGCGCTAATGCATGAGAGACTTTTTGCAAGGCTGTCTCAACCGTCCAGGGGATAGCGTCCCTAACCAACCTCTACGAGTACTAAGCCTGTCCAAGAGAGATGACCCCTCCGGTGTCCGACTCGTCACTTGTATCTAAAAGGTCTATAAAATATAAAACACCCCTATACACACCCAAATCAAACAGCGAATGCACCAGAGCGGAGACCCTCTCCACCCCCGGAGCCATGACCGCCCCGCTCCTGCCCAATCATTCAACCTCCTCCCTACCTAACCCTAGTTGCACAACTACGCCCACCATGCCCACTACCCCTCTCACATTCACCACTTCTAACACCCCTGTCACCTCTACTCGTAGTGGCCCGTTTTACGCTCCTTGTAACCCCTCGCACCACCCCGTGCCCCGTGTACTGTGTTGTAAACCGCCATTCTTTGGAGGCTATGAATTCGCCCAGGCGATTTACCAAGTCGCCCGTGTTCGTTAGGAAGTCTGCAAATGATGATTGGGGGGTTGATGGGGAGCAGTAGTAGGGGCCTTGGGGGGCACGTTGGAGGGATTGGTCCACGGTAGGTTTGGTGATCCTATCTCCGAACTCGCCCACATCCTTTGCGCCGGTGCCGGCAGCGGGTTTACTGGGAATCCCATCTGCGGCTTCGGTATCAGCCGCCACAACAATTTCTGCCACGGCCTCCGAAGCGGCCCCAACAGCAAGCTTATACCTACTCCCTTTTGCAATTTCGTCGATCTCCTTATCGCCCTCCAATTCCGTAATCCGTGTCGCCTCAGCTACCGAACCAGCCCCCTCAGTATTATCCCAACAAAGCCTAAACTCCGACCTCCTTCCACCCGTAATACCCCCTTGGATCACAGTCTGGTAAAGTTTCATCCCGTTCCAATCGAAAGCAAGTTCGCGGCGATACTCCAAGCCAGTGGAAATATAAAGCATTTTTGTGGGTGGTCTCCGCTCCCCCCCATCCTTAGAGTCACTACGTTTGGGTGGAGAGATCATCCACTCTGGCAGCGTAACACTTAGCAATTGTGATGCCTTGAGCTTGTCATCAGTAAGAGGGTTCAGAGTGCTCTCGGACATGTACCTTCGCAGCTCCGATTGGGTGACACCGTACTTAGATTGGGGATTCGCAGGGTCACCCAGAATGCCAAGAGGGATGGATTTCTGGTGGCGGAAGCGCACGTCGCATTCTTCACCAGGGAGCATAATATCTGCAACCGTGGACGAGTGAATGGCCTTGAGAGACGGCTGGTCCACTCTGCCGAGCTCGGGATCGATGCTGAACTTTAGTTCAAGAGGTGGATACCTGTCAAATCCTTCCGGGTATTCCCAGGGCGATGGTAGAAGCTTGACAATACAAGTTTGGTAGGGCGTTTGTTGCACACCAGTAGATCCTTGCACCCGCAGCGAGTGGAGGGCCCCTTCGGAAGTGGGGTCACTTATAGGTGAGAGGCCTTGGGTGATGTGAACAAGACCTGGGACATCAGTGAGAAGAACTTGGAGTCTATACTTAGACTCGATGAACTCTAGTACCGTTAGATCTTGATCGGGCTGAGGATCCGAATCCTCGTGAAGAAGGTAGCCGAGTATGGCTTCGTACTTTGGTAATAGCTCTGATCGATGTTGTGCCGATACTTGCAGATCATTGTGGTCCAAGATTTCACGTAGCCCGGTTGTGATGTCTGTATCTTGTAGTGTCCCCCCAATCCGTGTTCGCAGAGTATCCTTTAGAATCGCAGAGCTCTCACCTCGAAGGCTGTTGGAACGCTCGATAGGCTTCTTGATATTCCTCCATCGACCCCACTCCACCTCTCTGAAATTCCATGGCAATGCAGATTTCTCATGGACCGGATATAAGGCACCTTTAGGGTCGCCGAGTCCTTTGGGCGCATTATACAGAAGGGAATGGGACGATCGCAGCTGGAGATCAAAAGACAGGAAGAGCAGGCGCCGTGCATCCTGAAGGGAGCTGGGATCCGGGGAAGAAATCAAGAGCTAAATCAAGGTTAGTGGTCCCCCCCAGAGCGTAAAGGGAGCGAGTGTATGAGTACAGTTTTCTCATCTTTTTTCTCGATATATGTACCAGTAATCCTCGCAATCGGGGTTATAAACTGCTTATTAAACTGGCACAGTCGCTGGGCCCAAGACATGTCAAACTCCTCCACAGTAACCTTCCCCAGAAGGCCCTGAACCGCCTCTTTCAAACGTTCAAAGTTCTCCACACTGGCGTAAACACCGATTTTGCCAGTTCCAACATTAACCCTAACCCTGGCCTGGAACTCCTGCGACAATTGCCGTATCACTCGACCATCTATGATACCATCCCATCCAATCAGTAAACCTCCCCTACCCTGGGCGAAAGGGCGAGGTGAAGTGGAAAGAAACAAAGAACACACCTTTCCCAAGAATAAAGAATATGTCCCTCCGCGTGCTCGGAAAATAGCCATTCACCAAAACATCTAACCGCTCTGGGATTTCATGCGACACGACAACCTTCCACTTGGCGCTCAAAATTCCGTCAATAATCTCCCTCTTATTTGCGCCCGAAGGGAGCCTCGGTAGATCCCTCTCTTCCCCATCTTGATAATAGTAATACTCGTATAACTGTGGCTTCAAGAAAGCCTTGCATAGCTCTTGCGCAAGCTGCTCGTACCGCTGCTTGCTAACCAGGACGTTGGCGGGACGCGTGAGCGCGATATCGATGTTTTTGTCGCTCTCCAAATCATCGGACCGGAGGAGCAGGTCCTGCGTGTCGTCGAGGGCTTCGGCCTCGAGTGGATCCCGCAAGAACTGCAGACTCTCATGACGGGGTTTGCGTGGGCTCAGGTTCCGGAGAATCAGAAGCTCTGAAATAGGTCCAATGTCTATTTTATTAGATTCCTTCTCCTTCTCCTCCCCTCGCTTGCGAGGGGAGGTGTTGAAGTGGCGGGCGTAGGCCTGGAGTATTCGGATATTGAGTGAGGGTCGTCGGAACTGGCGGCAGAGGCAGGTTGCCAGATTTGAGGAGTAGGAGGCTGGTGGCATGCTGGTGGAGGGCGAGCAATAAAGGGAAACAAATCGAGAGGAAGGAAAAGAAAGGGTCAGGTAGGAAAGGGGGGAAAGGGGTTGAAAACTAGAACGTCACTCCAGTCAATTAAACTAATGCTGAAGGAGAATTGTCGATGGATATCAATCACATCCCGCACCGCACTAGCGAAAAACCAGATTCCCGAAAATTTTAGAGCCGCCAGTCTTGGCAAAAGGTGGGATGTACGGTGGACCTGTGCGGCTGGTGGGATGAAAATCGATAAGTGCATCGCTTATAATCCATCGGAAAATCAATCGCCGCTAGCAACCTGCCGATAAAACAACGACAAGAACTCTTTAAAATCTTGATACACTAGAACAAAGGATACCATCCCGCCAATCCCGAATTCTCCTTTCCGCTCGACCCCGACACAATGCCGTTTCGGACGTGTGCCTAGTAGGCGGTTTCGAACTGTTTAATGAATAAAGGATTTGAACATCTCTAGCCTTCCCATCACGCAGACAACCATGCCATTGGGCGGGCGTCCATTTCGTAAATCCGGCCCTTTGTCACCACCTGCTTCGTCTGGTCTCCGGACTATTATTATCCACCCCCGTCTCTACCACTTAGGCACAAGCCATGCACCGGACGGGTATATATTTCGTCCCAACTCCTCCTGCCCGTCCCGACGTACTACCCTCCTACACCTCTACCACCTCTGCTGATCACAGAACATGTCCGCATACCAGCCAAAATCAGCGGGGGAGAAGCAATCTCCACCCTTGCAAATACTAGTCTACACCCCACAGTCCGGCGGTACCAAGGGCGTGCCGCAGACCTCCGAGGTGTTCGGCATGGGCGGGGGCAGTAAAGGTGGGGCAGGAGGGGGCCGAACACTAGAATTCACAAACGGCAATGGAGAAACCCTGAGGATCCCGGAGTACTCAACCCATATCGCCAGACCTTCTCCTTCTTCCTCCTCTGGAAAAGCCAAGGGACTATACTGCCAGCCCGCTACCGCCACTCCCGTCGCATCAATCTATCACCACCACCACCACCGCCCATGCCCAGACCATTTTCTGCACCTCTACCCCACCCGCCGGGAGCCCACCCTCCTCCTCCCTCTTCCACAGCAACCTCTGGAATTTGACATGCCATCAATGACTATCCTACCAATCAGCGAGGAGGAACGGAACATGGTCATTTCACTGGAATCCCCGCAGGAAGAGATGTTAGGGCTAGATTTGGGGCCCCAGGCTGTGGTGGAAGAGTTGTTCGAAACTTGCCTGCCCGTGGACAGCACTGATGAGGGCAAGCAGTGGTGGTATGAGCTTTTGTGTGCCGAGGGAGATGAGGAGGGGTTTTGGACGAGGTTTTTGGGAGGGGATGGGGGGGGCGGGGGTGAAGCGGGTTGAGATAGGAGCGGAGAAGGAGAGGCGATGGGGTGTGTGCGGGGTTTGGGAGCGGGTCGGGAGGTTGAAAGTATCCCGAAAATTCGTCTAACTTCCTTCCCTTTTTCACCTTCCTCTAGCCATTCCTAGCTCCAATGTTATGTTACTAGAGACGTACCCCAAGAAAGAGACTCCCAAACAACTGTTATAATTACCCTTTCACTCATGCCTCGCCTGGCACGCGCCCATAATGATTTGCTGCCATACCGGCAAGTGATGGAGAAGGTATGTACTCTAGTAATAATATCACCATCTTCTAAAGAATACCCTGGCCCGGCAGTAATTGCAATAAACGCCAAACGTAGAGGAACCAATCCTAAGCTTCACAGGTTTAGGGTGAGGGTGGGGTAGAGTTGTTTTTCTGTTTTGTGCGAAGTTTGTAGAGAATCTGCGATTGTTAAGACTTTATCTGTTTGAATTTTATACCATAGGGATAGCCTGGTAGAGGGAATCGAGGAAAACTGGTGCCTAAATGCTCCTCCTCCAACACCTTCTGAGAGAAATATTCCCAATAAACAAAATATATGGTGAATATAACAAGTGCTGCAATCCTTGGGGATATAAATGGTTTTTGGTCGGGAAAAATATTGGATAGAGATCGTTTTTGTGCTATGATAGAAAAGCAAGATATTGGTAACATAACATTATTACGCTGCATTTTCACTCATGAAACCACGCGCAAGCAATCATTCATCGCCCGAACCATGAAAAACCCATAAAACACAACTTAACCCCCCTTTTAGAAAAAAAATTCTTGAAAACTCCAACCCACCCCCTACCACCCCCTACCACCCCCTACCACCCCTCCCTCCACAAACCCCACAGATACCAGCATCCCCCGGATTCATATAACGCAAATCTCCATAACACGAGCACTTCCATGCATTCTTCATACGCCCAGGATTTAAAACATTAGCACAGACACAGCACAGCGTCGACGTTGGGTCGTTAGCGAATGAGCATGCGGTGCAGGTGGTTTTTGAAGCCTCGTTGGGGGCCTTGGCCTTAGGGCGAGAGGAAAGGGATAGGATGGGATTTTGAGGGTTTGGCAGTGCCAATGGTGGGTTGAGGGTTTGAGGTTTGCAGTTGGGAGGTGGTGCCTGGGAGTCGTCGTTGGTAAGGTCGACTGCGTCTTTCTTTGCGCTATTGTTCGATGTGGACCCCCGTGGTTGTTCCCGTCCCTTCCCTTTCCCACTCATACCGGTACTCTCCTCGTCAAAACACTCCCATGCCGTCCCATGCCCACACGCATCCTTCAACTCCACCAACTCCCTCTTCATCCAATCCTGTTCTAAGTCGCCATCGTTCTCGAGACTAACAGGGACAAGGTACTTCCCGCCACCGACATCGACTTTCTTCTCATCTTCGTCCCAATCACCCTTACTCTCAGTATTACTGTCGCTCTCATCCCCAACCCCCCCCTCAACCCTCTCCACCTTCAGCACCTCAAACCTCTTCAGCGCTGCCGCAGCCCTCAACTCCCTCCCCCGTGCGCTCTGCGCGATCCTCGGCGCAGCCGTCGACTTCTTCCCATGTTCCAAGACACTTCTTGTATTGTCATCTGCGCCAACTTTCTCCCCTTCGCTAGGTCCGAATTTCCGCTCTTTACGGTATTGTTGGCGCTCGGCGTAGGTTAGTTTTGGCTTTTTCGCTCGATAGTTGGCGTCCTGTGTGCTTTTTCGTTTTTCGTAGGAGCGGTATGTTCCTAGTTCCTCCTAGTCATTCACCAGCCTAAAAGCGCTGGGGGGGGGGGGGTACCGCCACAAAGTGACTTTGGCATATCATCCTCAGCAAGTGGCTGATCGTGCGTGTGTCGCTCTGACAATAAAGTTCTCCCCGCCGACCAGAAGCCTTCGCCAGTATACCCCTTTGCCCTGAGGACTTGAAGTTGTGTTGAGAATTTGCTGTTGACAGACCAGAAGGATCTAGAGTGGTTCTGTTGTTAGAAGGGATTAGATATTTGTTGCTGGCGATGGAAGTGGGGAGGAGGGGAGAAGGAAGGGCGGACCATCTGTTTAATATGCGCAAGCTCATGTATCATAACCCGCTGTACAAAACTGAACGGCAGCCAGGCACCAGTATTGGGATTCTTGAGTACTAGCTGGATAACCTCTCCAGCGTTGACTATTCTAGCCATCAGTCCTGGACAGTATACCGCGGGGAGGGAACCAACAATTCCTCCCCCAAAACTCCATAGTCGCCGGGAATTCGTCCAACCTGCCCGTGTCAGCCCTCCTATCTCACCCTATAGCAATAGTAGAGTGAAAAACGTACGACATAACCGCAAGTCCATTATCCCTCATAACCTACCCACCCACACTATCAGCCTAAGGAAGCAAGAAAGAAGCAAGCAAAACGAACCGGAAACACAATCGCCGCGATCCTCTCCAAATAATCCAACGCTACATCGTAGTCTTCTCCGGGCAGTGCCGTGATGAAGGTTATGTTTGCATTTGGGGGGCGCTTGCGGGGGTTTATGCCTAATGTCATGGTAGCTAGCTAGGGGATGGGGGAGGGAGGAGGGGGGAGAAATACGTTCTATTCCTAACGGCATGGTTTGTGCGGGCGATGGTTTGTTGTGGAGGGTATGCGGTTTGCGAGTAAAGCGTGGACGAGTATGATCGTGGGTATCATAATAATATTGTTATGATATATAATTGAGAAAAGGGTTGGCGCGCATTGGACGATAAAAACATCGTGGGGCTGGCGTGCTCATCACGTGCTTACTCGAAGCTAATAATAAATGGAGAGTTAGTCAGATTCATGGAGGCTCACTCGGTTGGAGCTCAGTGTTTTAAAGCAACTGCGGGAAAGAGATAGTCTAGTGCGCCGTGATGTGTGATATGGGGGTACGAGGCTTGGGAAATAATATGACAGGCGGAGAGAGTCAAGTGGGATTTTGTTCCACAGGACGGCATTCGGACGGTATGGAATGGGTACCCGGTTCGCGATGCTAGATTCCCCATAGAGCGAGGATGCCTGGGCTTGGCAGGTGCTTGGTGGGCAGAGCAGAAAAGTTAAATTCGGTGTACGAGGGCGCGAGAAACGTGGAATGAGCATTTGCGTTCTCTCACGGGTGAGATGTAGGTAAGTATATGGGAAGGATGTACAGTACGCTCAAGGTGTGAAGTAAGATATTTCCTGGAAACTACCACTTAGTCAAGTAAAAAGGGATTTATCCGAGCAAACACCGCATTGTTTTGGAAAGAAGTTCCCATAGACACATGACAGGGTTTTAGGCGGAAAAAACCACATTACAAACAAACTGAAATTTAGTAGGGGGTTATATCCGAGTGACAACTGGTGATTTATTTGAGATCCAAGTGTATGTTCCGACAAAAAACCGGATGCTTCAGATACCTAAGCGCAGGGCGAGGGGTAACAGGTTATAATGGATCACAACGATAGTGCCCAAATTATCTGGCCATTAGCTCCCATGCTGCCTCTGCACACTGTTGAGACCTCTGAGGTGCTGCAACTGTGCTCACCAAGCAGAGGGGGTTCTTGCGAGAGATAATCCCAATACCAGCTGCTGGGGGCTACAGCTAGCTCCAGAAAAAGGATACGGTATTTGGAGGTGAAAATGTTCAACTTCAAGACCTTATCTCTAGCACTCAGTACTAGAATCGTTTCTACAGAAAGTGCCATAAGGTATCAGGACCGCAGGCCCCTTGCCGCGGAGTTTGAGTATGTTGTAATATGACTTCCAAATATACATTGGTTTTGTCATTGACTAGGACAGAATATTTTGATATGGGTTTATTAAGCGATTGAGCTCATTACACAGTTGACTAGAGAAGAGATTCCTTGGAAACTCTATTGTGGTACTAGTTTGGTGCTTGCGTTTCCTTTCTCTTTACTACTACATTATGTTGTATTGTTGTTGTTTATTTTTTCTATTCTCTTGCGTGAAGTGCACGTCATGGGTGATCGTAGTGCGCTCTCCTGTAGCATAAATAGGGCCCTATAGCCCCCCAGTAGAGCATCAATCGAGCAAGAAGTACAACTTCAAACAAGAATTACAACAAAGTAGACCCTACCGTTTAGAGCCAACTTAAGCTCTGGGATAGAACCCGTGAACCGTGGGGCCCCGCGAGTGACTCCTAATGAACTATTCCTGTGCCTACAGGTCTTCTTCTCGCATGTCAATAAATAGTACTTAGAGATGTCTTCTCGGGAGAACGGTTGGCAAAAGAACTGGTTGGCACCCCCGTCTGTCTTGCGAGAATATAGTCGAGCGAGCTCCCCTCGATCCCCACCCGGAGACGAAGGAAAGAAGGGTTAGCCCTCGCCTACAAGTTGAACGTCGAAACTACAACGTTGAGCAAATGTTGCCTAACTGTTTGTGCGAGCTGAGACTGAGGGCCCAGCACACCCTTGTTACTGTTTTGGTTTATATTGGTATGATGCCAGTATCGCGGGAGGGTAACTGGGTTGGCTAGTATGGATGGCGCTGCGGGGAAGAGCAAGGAAAAGTATTTCTTATGACAAGACCAAGCATTGCAATCCAACCCAGTCGAGAGAGACAAATATCTATCATACCGGTAGATTTCGGTATCACATTCGAGATTGTTTTGTATGGGGGTGTCGGGGGAAGTGTGAGGGTGAGACCCGACCAGGTAAGAAGGGCGGAAGATAGGGTGTGACGTTGGGAGGGATGGGAGGGTGGGGGCAAGCGCAGACTCGATTCTAGCGCTTCGTACCGATTTTCAGGAAGCTAAGATGAGTTCACTACTTTGATTGCCCGACGACAATGGGAATGAGATATGATAAAGACCACAATTTTGCAACATAACCGCGGGGAGGGAGGGGCATAAGGGGGATAACAGTATCACAAAAGCTAGCCTATGTCTTCCTCTCATCTATGGATTTCTTTCCAAAAAATTCCCAGTGGATCGGACCCAAAGACCAGATCGGCCATCCGGCAATGCTGTCTTTGTGCCCCCCTGTTCGTCGGATATGATTTAATACTATTATTGGGTGGGGTCAACTGCTCGTCCGGAGGTACTTAGTTGGTGCCGCTTCCGAGCTTACTCGGGTAGAATCTTTGCTGCAAGGGATCGTAGAGGAACGTGTCCTCATTTGGCAGATTGAGAGCTGGTAGGGAAGGCAAAGCTGGATAAACAGATTGAGGTCAATTTTTTTGAACCATCGAGCTGTGGCGCCAGTTGGCGAGCTATCTAGAATGGAGATAGATAGAGATAGATAGATAGATAGGGAGGGGGGGAGGCTAGAGCTGATAGATTGGTATACTTACATATTAGTTCTCTGTAGTGGAAATGAATCAAGATGCGGGTTGATACGCGGACATGGATGCTCGAGTGCTTGAGCGCGAGTTTGGTGTTCGAGGACAGCGGTACCTGCAGAACATCTGTTCGTCCGTCTACGATACCAAAATATCACTCTGGGACCTCCATCGTGAGTGGCTGATAACCCATAATGTTTCGACTGGCTCGTGCACCCTCCATATTATTTTGCCAATTGAGCCATAGAAATCGTCCTCTCTCGTGCCAGGATCATCGTGAAAGAGAGAACCCAAGTGGGTCGCCAAACCCCTACCATAGGCAACGTGGATCGGCAATGGCTCAAATAATTAAAATAGCACCCCTCTCCCTCCTTCTCCCTATCTCTAATGAAAGGTGAAGGAGGTACCTGAGCCGTTTTATTGTCCAATGGGTATTGATGAATTGGTGAGGCCCGTGCTGATCCGGTGCCTAAGTCTTTATCCGATCAACTCGAGGGATTTCATGGGAGGGAGGGAGACGAATATGATTAAGTTTAGTCTTGCCGATTGGAGACTGCTGACACATTTGCGAAACACAGGTTGGGGGGATGTACTCGAGTAATGCCTACAGCCTTCCCGATTCCCGGTAGAGCTGGCACAGGCAAGGGAGTGCCAGTGGGGTGCCTCAAGATAGCAAAAGGACCAGATGGCGAGAGAGCCCTTGGCGTTGAATGAGGTTCGCAACGGTAGCACCACGGAGGGAAGGCGGTGCGATAAAAATGTACGGCGAGAAAGGAGTTTTTCCCATGGACCGGAGGTGAAATTAAGCTTAATCCAAAATGATCGCATGCCGGGCGGAAGGAACACATCAGTCTTGTCTCAGTGGTCTTGACGTGCCCCTCCAGCACGGGCGCTCCTCAATTTTCTTCTAGTCGGATGTCAGGCGGTAGGGGGTTAAAAGGTATTACTTAAGGGTGGATGATTTGCTGATGGAAAAAGTAATTATATAGAAAGGGAGAAGAATTTTAACAGTTCGCTTGGGTCGGCTATGTATCATAATAATACTTGTATTATGATAAGAGTTTTTGTTTGAGTAAGGCCCACCCAATTCGGTGTGCGGTTTGCAATGCGATGCCCTATCATACCTTACTCAACCTGCAACACAGAGAACGGAGAGGTTTTGTGATATACAACACAGCACATTTAAGGTAGGAGGAGAATGGGGGCTGTTTCAACTACGAGGGGTTTGGTCTACTAATACATGGGGCGACCAAAAAGGCGAAACGGGAATCATTGGATTCGCATTCACGAGACCATTGTTCGTGCTGCACGGGTACAGTACGTACTGAACTCGCAATCATCCCATATCTTGCGCCCACAGCAGAGTGCCAGTCCAGTACCAATGCGATCTACAGCTGTACCACGAGGGATCATACTGGAGCGCTTGGAAAGGTATGGCACTCAGGCTCACCACTCATCCGATATAGACTACTGGTATCGGGTGTGAGGGAGTTCTCACACACCAGGCTAGCGTACTTGATGGGGAAGCGGGCTGCGATGCCGAAGCGGGCTGTGGGGGTGTGACTGAAAATTTTGCTGATAAAGAGTGGGATAACCACAATTCCATGAACAAAAAGCATTTGAAAGTTCCACAATAAGTCAAGTTAAAGTCAGAAAGGAAGACATCCTTGAGAAGACAATTGCTTTGGCAATTCAAGTCTTCCAGAAAGGCAATTACCGCTTGATTACAGCAACAGCACAGGATTTTAACCTATGCCAATTAACTCTGGAAAACCAGTTAAAAGGCAAAAGAGTTTCCCAGCATATTGCCTATATTAGGCAACAGATCCAAAAACTAGTATATGAGAAGGAAAATTCCGTAATGGATAAATAAGTTAGATGATTGGGTATATACATCTCATGTGGATATGGTAAAGTGAATGGCACAGATGTTAGTAGGAAAAATGAATTAAGACCTTATTGAAACTTCTGTTGGAAAGTAATAGATTACTCACTTCCTAAATTGCCATTTGGATATAGCTTCCTGGTATATGTAATGATTCTCATTAGTAAAAAAGAAATCCTTGAGGTAAATACATCAGTAGAGTGTCCTCATCTGCAAAAAAAAATAAAAGCCATGTTGGAAGTGCTATTGACATGTCTGGACGTCTTGCTGTTAATCTTTACACTCTGTACATCCTGTGCATCATAATATCAAGTTCTATTAACTAATATGTCCTATGTGTCCTGTACTTCCTAATGTTCC